CACTGAGATTTGAATTTGAATGCTAATCAATCAAATCAAATCAAATCAAATCAACACACACACACACACACACACACACACACACAGAGAGAGAGAGAGAGAGAGAGAGAGAGAGAGAGAGAGAAAGAGCGTCTGCTATGGTGCGTTTCTTTGTAATGGCGTTATTGAGCCACAAGGGAGCAGCAAAGAGCCACACAGCAAACTTGACCTGAACCATGACAGTTCCCAAGAAGAGCCAAAACGAAAAAAGAAAAAAAAAAATCGTAAGAGTTTCTCAAAATCAGTGAAAGCTGACGATATTCATTGCCACCACATGATGATCGGACCTGCTATGAATCAAAAGCATTTCTTCCTGTTTGCGTAATCTTAAACATCTCTCTGTACCTTTATGTTTGATGGGCCTCATTAGAGATGTAGAGGTTAGTTATATGCCATGCGTATGACCTCTGGTGGGCAGGGGTAAAAGGCTCTCCCTCAGAGTTCCTCTCATAATGTTCTCATTGTCTGAAATTTGCTAAACATAAGCTGGGCTCAAAGACAGCATCTTAGGCAGTGAAGCTTTGGGTCCAGCATGCTTCCATTACGTCTCCTCTTATTTGATTAAATGTACTCTAACTCAGTCCAAACCCACACTGTGCGTAATCTCATCGCGGATGATAAGCATGTAATAAAACACACATTTAAGTTGAAAGGGCACCTTATGCGAATGGTACAATTATGGATTTCCAAGTATGATCATTCGTTTAATTGTGAAGCCTTGCCAAGAGGTATGTAATTGCTTGAAAGAAATATGGCTGAAATTGGATTGTTTTGAGATGTGACCTGGGATTGTTTGGCATCCACATAGAGGCGGGGCCAACTTCCTGTTTTGTATACGTATATTTAAACCAAATATTCACAAATCTCATTATTTAGAGGAAATTCGGAGAATATTAGAATGTGACAATGCAAAACACAGTTGTTGAAGAGCATTACAATAACTGACTGAATCCATTTAAACGTAGGATGTGTCGTTAATCTCATGCAATTTGTATCCTAACAGGCTTCCTGAGAGTATAAATTTGAGAGCATCCAGAAGATGTTTTGCTTTAAATAAGCTCAGTGTTTGGCATTCATATCCGCGTGGGGTTTCTATTACTGATAGTGGGCTGATGTATAACTGGCTTTCAGTGATTATGTGTCTCACACCATCCCCAGAGGTCGGCCTAAGTCTGACCATGAAGTTGGACTGATTTATTATACAGCCTACAGTATTAGAAGAACAGGTGCTGGCCCTTAATGATCCCAGTGGGAATTTGCTTTCGTCTTTGATTAATTGGAATGTTAACAGGAGAAGAGTTATCCTAATAGCTTCTTGTTGCCAACCCTGCGGAAGTTTTTAGAGGGGCGAGAAAGGAAAGCGCTTTAAAAATAGACTCCATCAGAGCACGCTGGGAAAAGACCTGCCATTTAAATCCCGACAAAGCAATTTGCAGCTCATAATCAAGGGAACGGAAACCGTTTTTTATCGCATTTCCCTTTACAGTATAAGCTGGTCAGTTCCGCCACATCCACAGCAGAAGTTAGCGTGAGCCTAACGCTAGTAAATCTTGACCTTGTGTGCACGTTTGTTTGTTTGCTTTAACAGGTCAGCTGGAGCATAACCTCCAGTCGTTGGTGAGAGGTGATATTCCGTCACGAAAACACTGTTATTTGATAAGAGCTCGTGATTATCACGTTGGACAGAGATTATCATACATGAAATGACAAATTAAACAGGTATATTTTTAGAGCCTCCAAAGTGAGATGAGATAATATTTAGCCCGGTGACTGCTTAATTTCAGTCGCTCTTTGTCAGCATCTCACCACCGCTCCTCTCAAAGGCTATCAGACTCAAAGGATGGCGTGTGTGTGACATCTGAGTGGCCCCGTGGTGGCTGGAGGGTACTCAGAGGTCAGTGCGTGATGATTTTGCTCTGCAGATGGATGACTGTCTTTTCCTTGAATAGATGACACTCCTGTGTATTTATAGATATGGTATTTCTAGACATTTTGTGGACCTTTGTTGCCCAAAGTTCCAGTTAACAAACGCGCGGTTCCTATTTATAAACTGTGGCGGTGTATCAACACACACCATTGCAATATTTTTGGCTTAATAAAAGAATTATTATATGTCATCCATTGTTTCGTCGAGTTGTCATTAAGATAGGGATCAGCAGTCACTGAAAACATCACGTAGATCGCCGTGGCAAGCTGGAGATTCACCAGAGGACGCGCTCAGAAAATAAACAACTCCAAATTCAGTAATGGCGTGGACATAGCACAGTACGTGGCAGAAAGGCTGAAACTTTGAGTTTTTCTACTCTGACAGGAGAAGACGAAAAAACGCATGCTGATTGGAACAATTGCCGGATTTTCTGCGAATCAAATCTCTGCATATTTTCCTGTTTGGAGCAGATGTATACCAAACAGTGGTGACCCCCACTCTCCTTTTCAATGGGTTCGGGGTGATGTGCGCCGCGTCTAAGTGGAAACTGTTGCTCTTCAATCTCAAACATTGACCAGAATGCCAGGAATTCAATTGTGTGCAGGCATTGGGAAACCTGCAACCTGCGTGTGACTCGACCTGCCGGGTCGCATCGCCGATGCCCCGTGGAGCATGCAGGCTGTCATACGCGGAACGACTCCAGGTACGCTCCAATGTGTGTGTGTGTGTGTGTGTGTGTGTGTGTGTGTGTGTGTGTGTGTGTGCCGGAGAAGAAGCGAGGGTCAAATGCGTTGCCTCCACAATGAGTTGACCTCATTCGTCTTGTTGATTATAATCTGTCATCTCCGAGAGCACAACAAAGGATACAATCATGGTTATTCAGAACGCGCTCTGCGGAAAAAACGCGTGAAAACAAACCGCACATTGCGCTAAACCTTTTCACCTTGTGGAGAAATAATTATGATTGACAGAAATATTCACCGATGCAGAAATGCGCTCGACTCACATTTAATAATAATTAGCCAGTGTTATTTTAATTCTGACTGCACGGTTGCTGTTGTTATCCCCGCTTAGTCACTTTCCAATTAAGATGATACGTGGGAGATGTGTCCATAAGGCTGTGCTCGCCATAGTTAAATCGTTGTTCTTCTTCATGTCTCAGCAGCTCTAATGTCATTGTGAACTCTATTATTGTTTCCGACAGCCACATCTAGATATATATGGGCTGCTAAACGTGCTCTTAGTGTAAAGGCCTGAAGGAAGCTGCTCTTATATGTCTAAAAAAAATTCCACCAATTCATTCATAATGAATTCGATATATTATAAACTCCCGAGGTCAGCGTAAAAGAAGACTATATTAAAGCAGGCCTGTGTCGCCTGGGCTGAACCTCGGCTGGCCTTATCTGTCTCAGCCCCCCGAGACATCCTGTATGCAGGCCCATTGTTCCCTGCCGCCCTGCTGAACTGACAACCTTTCTGCGCAACTGCACACCTGCTGCGCCCGAGTCCGCACACGTCTTTGTATATTCGCGCCTTTTATAGGCGAGCTTTTTGGTCCTCAAGTTTAAGGTGTGTGTGTGTGTGTGTGTGTGTGTGTGTGTGTGTGTGTGTGTGTGTGTGTGTGTGTGTG